TTTTTTACATGACACTAGTTAATTTCTGTGGTATTATGACACATCTTGCTTATATAAATCAATTTACTGAAAAGAAACCAATATCTCTAACTATTTTCGGTAGTAAGTCTACCTGTCATGAATTAATGCTGTGTTACATCAGTCAAATATATTTAAAGAAAACTGTTTTGGGTACTAAACCAGTAAACATTATATTTTTCAGAATACATAAATGAGCTAAAAAAGGTGCATAAAAATATATTCATCAAACTATAGACGTTTTCATATTTATGAACTAATACTTATCCAGTTTTTTTTCTTTCGAATATCCAATATTTTTTTTTTTTTTGGTAAGGTCCAATATTTTTTGAAGTTTACATTTTGTTAATCTTAATTAATATGTAGTACTGCATAAAAAGCTAGAAGATCAATTTTAATCAAACAAAATCTATTATATTAAAACAGAAGCACATTTAGTGCTTGCTTCCAAACACTCTCAAAATTTTTTTATGATATTTTATTTTATATTTATATTTAATTTCCGAAAATTAGTTATTAATTTAGATATTTTTAAGTTTCATAAAATCTAGGTCATCTTTAATTTAAATTTTAAATTATTAGAAATTTATGATTAAATTTAGTTACAAAAATCTACATTCAAATTAATTTAAATTCAAAAAAAATATAATTAAATTTTATAACGAAAATTTAGATAATAATTTTAATACTTTAAAATTTCTTAAATACAAGAAAGATTTAATTTAAAATTTAAAATTTAAATAATATTTTTATAAAAATGCATAGTAAATAAATATTTTATCGTATTTTATCATAAACAATCGGTCTAAAATATCAAATATTTGAAATTAATAAATATTTATATTATACAATAATATGATCGAGCTGATTAGAGTTATATATATATATATATATATTTAAGGTCCATGAGTTAATTTATTAAAACATGTAAGATATTAAGATGATTTGAGACAATTAAACTAACAGATTGACACGTTTATATATATATATATATATATACATTTTTTAATAGCACAAATAGTAAATAAATATCTTATTATATTTTTTCATAATCAATTGGTCCAAATATTCCATATTAGTAAATATTTATAGGGTTATACAATTATAATTATAGTCTTATACGGGTTAGTTTGTCAAAACATGTAAGATATTAAAAATGATTTAAGACAACTAAACGGATAAATTAGCAAATTCATAGATATAAAGATTGTTTATGTGTAAATCTAAATTCACATAATAACAAAGTTTATAATTAACATTAGATCAATGTATACTTAATTAACGTATACTCTTATTCTACTAATATACAAATTTTACTGTTTGATTACAATTTTTTTATTTAAAAAAAATAAATAACAAAAACAAATTATATCTAAACAAAAAAGATAAATGTAATTTATATTAGAAATAAAACATAATACAATCTCGTGCGGACGCAGGGGTTAAAATCTAGTAAAAGCTTAAAGATCAATTGTCATGGTAAAGACTGTTTACATCTAACTTGGTGTTAAAATTGCTTTAAGAAGAATGGAGAGTCTCCCACAAATCTCTACTATATTAGTGCTCCAGCTACGAGTGTTCGAAGTGTGAAATCCTAACACCTGGTCTTCACAAGACATTGGCATGTCTGCATCTGCTCAGCGACTTTGTGGGATAGGCTAGTAAAACCATCTCAAAAGATGCAAGAGATGCTCGTGGACGACAGGTGATCACAAGTACAAATTTCTCATGAGATTATCTTCACCCATTATTCTCTTTCTCTTTAGTTTTTGTGTTTCATTGTGTGTTTCCGCAATTAGACTAAGTGGATACTTAATCTCTCATCTCCCTAAAATATCCTCCCATTTGTATGATCCAAAAGGTCATATACTTGTATTAGTTACTTTGCATTTTAATAAAACAACCTTTAGCAAAAATAAATGTCTTTGAAGAAATTAAAAGACATTTAAGCCAAAGAAACTATGTTTTTACAATGTGTATACAATATAACTATGTTTTAATAAAAACTCTTGTTCATTTCTGACGCCAGGTTCTACAATGTCTAGCAACTTTGTTCTGCACCAAAACTCGGTCATGGGATTGGCTTCACATGTAAAGAATAGGACTTGAATTAACAATTGAGTTTCAATAAATTTGTGAAACAAAAAACAAAACAAAAAAAAACACACGGTTTTATGGGTCGTTGAAGGTATACCAGTCTCAGTCTGTGAGTAATAATAGGCTTGACCGATTTACTACTCCAATATCAATGAAGTCGAAAAACGTCTGCATTTGAAAAAACACATTAAATAAGTAATGAGTGTTGAGGTAATTCAGTGATTTTTCTAGTACACAATTAATGGGCTTTCGTTAAAGCCTAATATCAATTCGTCGTCGTTTCGTCAGGACGGCTTTTCGTCTGGGTCGCCTCTTTTCACTCGCCGGAGACGTGGAAAAGTAAAGAGTCAGAGACGATGAAAGACGACGGAGAGATGGCGGAGGAGCAGAAGAAGAAGCCATGTCGATTCTGGATTTGGGCTTTATCTTCCGTTTTCTTCCGATTGATCTTGATTTCCTTCCCCGGAAATCTCAATCTATCTTCCCGTCCGGAGGTCTCCACACCTCTCACAAGCATTCGCCGCCGTATAGCCTCTCTTTCTCTCTCACTCACACACATTTGATCTCCTTACGATCTCGAATTCTGCTTACATTTCTCCGTTCTTGTGTGAATTTTCAGTTGCTGAAGGTTACTGGTTGAAGCAAGCTTCGATGTCACCATATGCAGGTTTTTCTTCCTACTCATTTCAGATTCGATCCTTTAAAATTTTGAAATTTTAGGCTGTTGGAAGCTGAATTCTGTGTTGGGCAGGATCTATGTATCATGGCTCGCCGTTGCTGCTCTCGCTTCTCGGACCTCTCACTGTTCAGAGGTCAGTGTGGCTGTAATTCGATTCGATGTCAGGGTTTGCGATTTGTTGAAGCTTGAATCATATCAAACATTCAATTTTGTTCGAATTGAGTTTAATTGGAAGACAATTTGGGTGTTTGCAGGATTAATGGGCAACCAAGTCTCCTCTTGTGCAGGTACTTTCGATGTCTCTTCATTTCTGTGAACTCTTGCTTCTCAGATTTGAGCTTTTTTGAAAACTTAGGTGGATTTAGATTGTGAGTATAGATCAAGAGATGTAATCATGTAAAAGAGATCATCTTTCAATGTTCTAGTATATACATCAACAACTTTATAGACATGTCTTTGATACAAGCATTCTCTTGGATACAGCTTGGTTTTTGTTATTGCAGATATATTAAGTGCGATGCTTCTTCGAGGGATTGGTCAGAAACTCCAGATGGCTTATGGATTGAATGCGAGGCTACTTGGCCTTCTTAAGTCGTCAAGGGATAAAGGTAAATTTGAGTCATTTTGTTGGATTCAAAGTATCATCTATCTTATTTATACAGATTTGTTTTGGCTCACTGAGACTGTAGCAGAGAGTAAGAAATCTCTTTTTTCTTGCAACTATTTACTTGAAGGCAAAGACTGATCTCTACTTTTACGTTTTCTCCGCAGGGATCCTACGTTGCGGTGATATTTCTGCTCTTGTGTACCTGTGGAATCCTTTCACAATCGTTTCTTGTGTGGGCTTATCAACTTCTCCAATCGAAAATCTGGCTGTCATACTGGCGCTTTATGGAGCAGTTACTCGTAAGAAGATAACGATACTTGCAATGCGAGCAAATTTACGATTTTTATTAGCAATCTTGGTGGAAAAACGATGTTATCTACCTATGCAGGACGAGTTCCTCTGGCTGCATTTGGCTTAGTCATGGCCACACATTTATCTCTGTATCCGGCAACCCTGACGATTCCAGTATGTATCCTTTCCGGTTTTATGTATGTCACATTTCCCAGATTAAGCAGATTCTAATCGCTCTTGTGTATTTCCTACAGATGATCTTTCTATTGGGATATGGTTTGGATGCTCCTCCTATAAAATTGTTCCTTCAGACCAAAAGTGTAGAAAACGAAGACAGATCAACCTCTTCTGTTTCTAAAAAGGCTAAGTTCAAGCAGACTACACGCGTTCCCTTCTTATGGAAAACAGTCGTGCACTTTGTGTTCTGGGTACTTCTGTGGTCGCTGTATGTGTTGGTTTTATGTGGCTTATCACTGAGTAAATATGGTGGGCTTGAGGAGATGTTCAAAAGGTGATCCTTACCTCTGAATATAAACTGAAATTTAATTCACCATATGCTAAGTTTCTGATAGTTATGTATAGGAGAAAACTAAGATTCTCTATCATTAAAGAGTTCTGTTTTTTTTGGCATCCTATTACAGGACATATGGTTTCATTCTTAGTATTGAAGATCTGTCACCGAACATCGGAGTCTTTTGGTAAATATAATGTCATATGATTCGGTGACGAATAAGACATATCATTATCTGCCTTTATTAAACTCTAGTGATCTTCCTCTCATTTTCAGGTACTTCTTTGCAGAAGTCTTCGACTTCTTCAGAAACTTCTTCCTGATAGTTTTCCACGTAAATATTCTGTTTATGTTACTGCCCTTAGCCATACGATTGAAACATCGGCCCTGCTTCCTGGCTTTCATATACTTGACGATCTCCTCGATTCTTAAATCTTACCCTTCAGTAAGTACTTGAACTCATAGTGAACTATATATTATATTTTTTGAAGAATCGTATCCATAAACGTTACTTGACCTCGTGCAGGTTGGAGATTCGGCTTTATACTTGAGTTTATGGGCATTGTTTGTCAATGAGTTAGTAGGTAAAAGCAAATACTTCACACTCTCTTTTGCAATGTTTAGCCTGTGCTCATAAAACTAAAATATGATTTTGTTTTGCATGTATAGATATGAAGTTCTCGTTCTTCCTCTTCTGTGGATATCTCGGGATTTCTCTCCTCAGCCCTGTGATGCATAACCTCTGGATATGGCGTGTAATTGTTTTCAGCTCAGTTCATAAATCAATATGTCACAGAACTCGCATGCAAATGTCATAGTGATCGTAAACTCAGAACAACTATTTGGATTCTTCATTTCAGGGTACTGGAAACGCGAATTTCTACTTCGGAAACGCTATTGGCTATGCATGCTTCCAGGTAAAATATAGGCCTGAATCCATTTCCCAAGTTCATTATTCTTGGAGTTTGGTTTCATGTAGTGCACAAATTTGATATCAACAGATGATAGTATCAGTCTTTTATCAAAGAATAATGTAATTTGGGGTTTTCTTGACTAAAAACGGGTTTTTGCGGCTTTTACAGATCGTTTTCGTGGTTGAGAGCGTAAGTGCAATGCTGAACCACGACCGGGCGCTTAAGAGATGTAACTCGACCAATCGAGAAGTCAAGAACTAAACCATTTGCTGGTCAATGCAAAACACACGTGAAGAAAACGAGTTTGGTTCTTAGCTTAGTGGTGCGATTAGGTCAACCGCAAACGCTTAACGCTGGCCACACGTGTTTGTGTGAGTCGGTTTTTTTCGTTAAACATCATACAAAAGACAAAATTTCCTTTGCCTTGCGATTAAAGTAACAATTATAATTTGAAATTTGTGCCGAGACAACATGTTGCGAAGTGTCGGTCTAACTCAGTTCAATTCTTTTTTTTTTTGTCTGTTTTGTAAAAGTTAAACGTGATTTAACAAAAAAAGGGGGAAAATTTAAGAAAATTTAAATGATCAAAAAGGAGGAAAATTGATTTACACCATTTAAGAGGCTTTTTCCACAATTCTCTCTATCATCGTGGAGGTAATACACATGCTCTCTCAATTTGTTCAAAACCTTAGCTTATAAGTGTATCTATAAAATATACATTAATGTCTTTGCTTATTTTTCTCTTTAGAGATATATTTCCCTTACAAAAAAAGAAAAGAAAGAGTTAATATAGGTCAATCTGATTCTGATGCCAGTATGTATATGTATCCCTATATTGAGCTTTTGACCACTCTCTTGCGCCGTAACTGAACTTTTGTTTTAATTATCCTTCAATTTCTTATATTATCCAAACATAAGAGTGATCTCTACTTAAGATGTGTGATCATTTTTCTTCAAAATCATTTTAATCTTCTCTCCATCATTTTATTTCATTAGATGAATTAATTGGTGTGTGAGTTTGTTGTTATTTGAAAACTTTACTACACGATTAAAAAGGAGAGTTAAATTTCATGTAAAAATCTCTCACTCTTTTTTGTACATTATTTATTAGTTTATATTGATTACCAGAAAAAATATATGTAATATTAATTAGGATAATGACTTCGTCCTCTTTAGTAACATATAAACAAATAGTAATATGATTGGAGTCTGAAGATGTGGATCACGTGGGCCCACTTTCCGTGTTAAAACGCCGCCAATTAGTCTCTGCCACGTAGAAAATACAACACGTAGGACCCAAGCAACAAGCATTATTCACGTCGATTGTCATTTTCATTTGTCATAGTAGTTAATAGTTATATTGGAAATTTGGAACCAATAATGTAGTACAGTAATTTATTTTTACCTGTTTATTCCCTTAATTCAGAAGATGTATAATGTAAAATGTTTACAGAATCACAAGAAAGAGGATTAAAAATTATTTTATACACGTAAAAAGAGGATTAAAAATTATCCCAAAGGAAATTATTGGTCTCAATGAGAAAAATACTTTATCTTACATAGGATTAGTCCGAATTACAGATTTAGGTTTCTCGGTTAATAAAAAAATTGCTAGTGATTTGCAGCTGTCCCTATATCTTAATCATCCAAATCTTAAAGCTTGATAAAATCCTAAACACTTAAATAATTTCAATTAAAACAATGTTCCATAATGTTAATCAGCCTTCTCTAAAACTGATCATAAGCTCTTATCTTTTGTCTTAATCACCCGTGTCAGTCTAAACATCTTTTTGACCCCAAGATTCGTGAAAAGGAAAACACCTTTTGTCGCCAACTTGGGGACACTCAAATATAAAATCTAATTCCATTGTAATGAAGATTTATAATGGAGAGTTTTCACAGCGACCTACCTAGTTATCTTGTAGAATTGCTTGATTTGTTAATGCAGAATTCCCGAGCCCGTGGCTCAATGGCTATAAACCAAATGGGTCCCCAAGACCAGTCAGATTTTGTTTACCTAAAGCTAAAAAAAAAAGACAGAAAATTTTTATTAATCTAGGTTAGAATCTGAACAGATATTATGCAAGATACAGTGGTTATAAGGATTTAAATGCTGATGTATGCATTATTGCATTCAGATATTGAGTTTGACAAGTGACTCTTAAAACTATTATGAAGATAATGACTATATGATAAAAACACTTGGCAACAAGATCTAAACAAGAGATTCTAAGCATGAATGTGAACAAACTTTAGAAAAAAATTATTTGTGAGTTTATTTTTGCTAGTTTGATGTCAAAGATTGCACTAGATACTGGAATATTTAGCATAGATATGGAAAGAGGAACAAAATAAACAATTATGAAGTCAACAGTGTAAAAACTGAAACATTTGTATGTGTGTGTGTGTTCAACTATCTGAGTTTTAACTTCAATTAATAATATGCATTTATTTATCTTTATTAGAGAGTGAAGGTGGAAAAAACTTGGCTTATGTTCATGAGTCTGGTTTTTAATGCCATAATTAATGGTCAAAGAGACACAATAAACAATATATAGAGGAACCTTCATGTTACTGAATTTAAACTTCTTCTCCTTTAAATAGTATCTATAAACAGATGTGGGGTTTTTTTTTAAAAAAAAAACAAAAATTGTTCCAATATGCAACTACTTAAAAAGTGCATTATTTATTATTATTATCAGATAACAGAGATGTGTAAGGACTTGCCTCTCTATTTAAGGAGTTATCATATGGTTAGTTGACAAAACATGCCAGCAGTTTAGCTTTCTCTTCTCTTCTCAATATTGTCTTTTTCCTCTGCACGTTTTCAATTTCTTTCTTTCTTTATTTATTTATTTAACAAGTTAGAGATAAACAGATTTAAGAACATCAGAACAAAACATATTACAATCCTCGATCTTACAGTAATGTTGTGGCCATTGTGCATTTGGGTTTCTCTATTCTTGATAAGCATCACAACTTGGGTTTACAAATGGAGGAACCCTAAATGTAGAGGGAAGCTTCCACCAGGTTCTATGGGCTTACCACTTCTCGGCGAGACGATTCATTTCTTCAAACCTAACACAACTTCAGACATCCCACAATTTATCAAAGAAAGGGTTAAGAAGTGAGTGTTTTCTTCATTCTTTCAGAGTTGTATTTGTATACAAAAAGTTAAATCCTTTTTCATTTTTGTTACTTACGTTGCAAGGTATGGACCAATCTTCAAGACCAGCCTTGTGGGGAGACCAGTTATTGTATCAACAGACTCTGATTTGAGTTATTTTGTGTTTCAACAAGAAGGCCGTTGTTTCCAGAGTTGGTATCCTGACACTTTCACTGAGATATTTGGAAAGCAGAATGTAGGATCATTACATGGGTTCATGTATAAGTACCTTAAGCACATGGTATTGAGTCTCTTTGGCCATGAAAGTCTCAAGAAGATGCTTCCTGAAATTGAAAAAAGTGCATGTAAGAAGTTAGAGCTCTGGTCAAATCAAGATTCAGTTGAACTAAAAGATTCAACTGCTAGCGTGAGTTTCAAGAAAATACTTTCATGCCCTTCTTTTTAAATCATTTCTTAGTTTCTGACTTGGTGTTATTACTTTCTTGTTTAATTAGCTGATATTTGATCTCACCGCCAAAAAGTTGATCAGCCATGATCCAGAGAAGTCCTCAGAGAATCTAAGGGAAAATTTTGTTGCGTTCATTCGCGGTTTGATCTCTTTTCCTCTTGACATCCCCGGGACAGCTTATCACAAGTGCTTAAAGGTTATTACTTCAGGTCTCTTGTAGAATAGCAACTCTCTTTAATATAGTATTTAGTTCTCAAGCTTAGAATGGTTTTTACAGGGAAGGGAAAGAGCGATGAAGATGTTGAGGAATATGCTTCAGGAGAGGCGCGATAAGCCAAGAGAGAATCCTAGTGATTTCTTCGATTATGTTATCGAAGAGCTCAAGAAAGAAGGGACAATTCTCACTGAAGAAATTGCACTAGACTTGATGTTTGTCTTGCTTTTCGCCAGCTTCGAAACAACTTCTCTTGCTTTAACTTTAGCAATCAAGTTCCTCTCACAAGACCCTTCAGTTCTTAAACGTTTAACGGTCAGTAAAACAACTAAAATCCAGCTTCTGATTACTACCATTAGTTTAATAAAAGTTTATTTTCTTTACCAGGAAGAGCATGAAGCAATTCTGAGAAACCGTGAAGATGCTCACTCTGGACTTACATGGAAAGAATACAAATCAATGACTTACACATTTCAGGTCGATTACAACAGTTTCATTAATTATATACATGTCAATAACGCGTAGCCTCATCTAACCAAATGTTGAATACTATATGCAGTTCATAAACGAAACAGTGAGACTAGCAAATATAGTTCCTGCAATTTTCAGAAAAGCATTGAGAGATATCCAGTACAAAAGTATGATCAATAAACCAAGTCACCAAGCAACAAAATGTTATATATTAAATTAATTCCACTTTTTCTATATATAATCAACTAATGACTTTGAAAATGGTGTATCAGATTATACAATTCCAGCCGGTTGGGCGGTGATGGTTTGTCCTCCAGCTGTACATTTGAATCCAGACAAGTATCAAGATCCTCTTGTCTTCAATCCATCTAGATGGGAGGTCAGAGTTTCATCATATCTTCTGGATATCTTTTACTCTAAGTAACCTGTAAAAAATTTAATTTTGAAACAAAAGTAATCAAACTGATGAAACTCATCAGGGATCAGAATCGACTAATGCATCAAAAAATTTCTTGGCGTTTGGCGGAGGAATGAGATTCTGTGTTGGAACTGACTTCACCAAAGTCCAAATGGCAGTTTTCCTTCATAGCTTAGTCACAAAATACAGGTTCAACAACTTTTTATAAGCTATTCTCTTTTTTTTTTCTTCTTCATTTGTTGATTTAAATGCTTATTGACTTTGTTGTAAATTTTTGATTCTTGGATTTGATCAGGTGGGAGGAAATCAGCGGAGGAAACATAATTCGAACTCCTGGATTGCAATTTCCAAATGGGTATCATGTTAGACTCAAGAAGAAAGAGATTCAAAGAAATTTGGGAGAAAACTAATGAACACATTTTTTTGTTAAATGACCAGAGAATGTACAATAATATGTAAGATATATATACAATATGCACTCATTTATATCATATTGGAATGCACCTTTCTTTTAAAAAATTGTTAGTGCCATGTATAAAAGATCAAGCTCTGTAATGAAACATTCGTTGAGATCAAGTATCTTCAATCCAACAATACTACTAATTTAGTTGAGAGTTGACAAGGTGTGATTTATTTATTTTCAAATGTAATACACTCTTTTGTTTCTTTCCCTTTTTTACACAAGACGAATTCAGTAATGTACATGTAAGTTATAAAAGGCTAAAGAGATATCAAAGGCAAAAGGAACAACGAGATTAAACGTTACAAGAACACACATTAAAAGCTTTTACAGTATGATGATGATGATGATGATGATGATTAGCAGCTCCATTTAGAAGTAGGGAAACAGCTGAGCCTATGACACCATTTGCAATGTTTATTGCCATTCTCTCCTTTGAAAAGCATCACTAATCCAACTGTTAACCCAACAACAAGTAACACCGCTGCGACTACAAACAGCACGTACTGGTACATGCTATGCTTGCGTTTGGTACGGGAAGTGCTGGTGCGGGAAGCTTCCCAACCGTATTGTGGTCGGAGAAGAAGGACAAACCCGAGGCAGAATCCGGTTAAAAACCCTCCAATGTGCGCGAAATTATCAACCCGAGGAAGCAATCCTAGTCCTAAGTTGATTGCTATGATGAATAAGAGTGTGATCAGAGCAGCTGCCTGCAAAACCAAAAACACTTTCTTTACAATCAAAGCCAAAAGATACAATGCTAGTACAATGCTACATTTCCGGTTAAGGCCGGTTTAAAGGACAAAAGTAGCTACCTTGTTGGCATAGATAGTCCAATTGGTGAGAAGTTCAGATAACATTGCACCAAGAAGTCCAAAGAGAGCACCAGAGGCACCAACAGAGATACTTTCTTGAAGGAAAAGAGACGAGAGTATGCTTCCACCGAAACCCGATATTAAGTAGATAAGCCCGACTCTTACTGCACAACAAGGTAATAGTCCCCACGATAAAGATAAAAAAATCTGAAAACTTGATGGAAGTAAAAGAGTGTTTGTACTTAAAAGAGGCAAACACTTACTGAAGCCAAACTGCTGTTCAAGGCGGATACCGATGAAGATCAAACTCAACATATTGGTAAGAAGATGAATTATACCGGCGTGTAGCCACATACAACTGAGAAGTCTCCATCCTTGATGCTCATGTACTACTTTCCTCCATTCCAAAGCTCCCATTTTCTCCAATCTAAAATCAAGAATCCGTGTAAAACCGAATACACCGATCAAACGAGCAAGACCAAAACAAGGAATCACACACAAATCAACCACTAGATTTATTAATAAAACAATTGCAAATGACATTCACAATCTTAAATCCAACCATTTTGATTGGATCCACAAGTCGCCTTGCTTTAAACAGAACAGAAAAGACTTCAATTGAGTTTTATCAATTAACAAATCCTAGCTAGGCTAAATGCATAATTAAGGAGTTTGAGCTCATTTTCCAAGGCATTAACAGACAATAGAGATCAAATTCATATTTTGCGAATTCGGACAAAAAAATTGAGACTTCTGAGGTACACGGAACATCAACAGACTTCGAGTAGTACTAGGAGCGATTGAAGATTAAGAAAAATTCTTAATTACCGAAGAAAAATGTAAACTTTCCCCACAAGCTTGAGCTCAATATCCATGGAATTTCAGAGCAGATAGATAACATTCAATCGAGAATTGGAATAAAAATCGACACTTTTCAGGTACCCAGAAGATTAAATCTGAGTTCGGGTAGATTAGGTTCACTCAAAGTCTTCAAATCTCGAGGTTTTTAAGTAAACTTACGTTGAAGAAGATGGGCCAAAGAGAGGATTCTCTCGAAGTGGCTGAAACGAGAACCTTCCGAGAAATTTAGCGACGCAAGCTTTGTTAGCTCCGGTGATTTTCTTAGGACAATCATTGACGAACATAACGGCGACAAATATGGCGAGATTCGCCACTACAATCGCCGGAATCAGCCACGAAGTCCAATGAGTTTCGTGGGAAGTCTCATCGTAGAAATAGTTGTTGTTGTTGGTGTTATTAGCTCCTCTGTTATTCTTCCCTCCTCTCTCCACATCTCTATTCGCCATTACTCTGCTTCTCTCTCTATCCTCAAAATCTCAGGATCTATGTCGATGTGGTTATATAAATCGGAATGTCTCCAAGCTTGGATTAACGGATCAAATACGAAATCAGGAGAAGTAGCTTCGAAGAAAGAAAGGAGGAGGATGAATTAGAGGAACAAGAGATTGAGACAGAACATCAATACTCGAGAGAGAGGGAGAGAGAATTAAGGCAAAAGTTGTAACCTTTTTAATATATTAAAAGTAGAAAAAAACGCTTTTTTCTTCTTCTTAGGGGTTTCTACGTATTCAAAAAGAAGAAAAAAGAATTAACGTTTACGACGGAAGAAAGAATTTCGCGTTTATCTATAAAGTTTTATAAATGTAAGTAGATATTATATTAGTCTCAGTATGTCTCAATCTACAATCTTTGTAGAATTAAAAAAAAAAAAGAATAGAGCTTTGGTGGTGTGTCAATGGCGAGTTAGGCGGTGGTGCCAGCTCCTCTCTAATAAGGTTTTGCCGTTTTCTTTTCTGAGTAAAAAAACAACTCAGACCTGAGACACAAAGGTGGAAGAAAAAAAAACAAATAAAAGAAGATAAAATTTGTGAAAGAAAAAAGAAGATGAAGTTGTATAATAGTAATATTTTGATTTACTTATATATTAAATACCTTTTTTTTGCGAAATATTAAATACTTTCTTTCTGATGACAAAAACTTAATATAGCAACGTTCCAATTTGTTTGCGAGTGCGACAGCATATAAAAGGACACAATATTATTGACTCATATTATGCAATAAACTCAAACAATGTCGGCAACTCGGCATCACTAGGTATAATTTAAAAATTTGGCCACCGTTTAGTCACTTATATCATATTTTGAAATCAACTATTGTACATCATTTATTAATTCTGCTACGGTTAAAGGTTGTTGACTCACAGCGTTACGATCTATAAATTAATAGGTTTTGTTAAGTTTTTTTTATTCGGTTTTGTTAAGTTTCTGTATGACAAAACTAAAATGTTGAGTTCAGGCATATAATATAAGTCAGCACCCGAATTTGTGTATAAACCGAACTTATACATACATTGAGGTATAAATAAGCTAATTTTCTCTGTATTATTTATTCTTTTTTACAAGACAAATTAAATACTAGCCGTATTAGTTTCAGTTTTAACAACAAAAATACATCTGTTCATATATCATTACAGAATGTTTTTTAAAATATTATATAAATTTAAATACAATTGTAAGCAATAACGTCCAGCGCAATTAAAGATCTTCCTCAAAAGAATATATTTACATCGACGAAATGTATGGGTTAATATATTTCTATGCGACAAACATAGTCGATGTAGACAAAATCTAGACAAGAGCTTTGTTTCTTATAGACATGTACAATGATTAATAATTGCGCTAATTGCCATGAAAATAATATATTTGGTATAACCGAGTGTCCCAGTGACATTAAATGTGAACGTTATCTTTGTTATCTATCTTCCTCAAACTTTCAACCAACCACAAAACAATGGCAAACTATTCTCAAGATCCCTTAACCACATCCACTAAACCAAGTCTAATCAAAGAAAAAGAACGATTTGATGAAGAAACAGTGAGCTTGCTAGCGGAGAGGATCTTGTACACCGTGGCCTTCCGATCCCCGTGGTTTTCAAATCAGCCTTGGAGCTTGGCGTTATCGACACGATCGCAGCCGTAGATGAAGGTGTGTGGCTCTCGTCTTCTGAGATTGCACTTCGTCTCCCAACCAAACCCACCAACCCGGAGGCACCGGTTTTGTTGGACCGGATGTTGGTTTTACTAGCCAGTCACTCGATCTTGAAGTACCGTATAGTTGAAACCGGAGAGAACGGTCAAGCTGTCAAATTCGAGAGGCTCTATGCTGCTGAACCGGTTTGCATGTTTTTCTTGAACCGTGGAGATGGCTCCGGTTCTCTCGCCTCTCTGTTTATGGTAGCCCTAAGCGAAGTCTATTTCAAGACTTGGTATGTACATACTTTCTTCATTATTCACAAACAAGCCAAATAAAAAGTAGACCTTTTAATAATACCGGTCCAAGAACAAATTAATTCTATTTAATCTTTAACAGGCCACATCTCAAAGATGTGATATTAGAAGGAAAAGATGCATTCACATCTGCTCATGGCATGAACCTCTTCGAATACATTGGTTCAAACGAACGATTTGGCGAGTTATTTAACCGGGCAATGTCAGAAGTTTCTACCCTGACCATGAAGAAAGTTCTAGAAGTTTACAGAGGTTTTGAAGATGTAAACACTTTAGTGGACGTGGGAGGAGGAACTGGAACCGTTATAGGTCTAGTGACTTCCAAGTATCCTCATATTAAGGGCATCAATTTCGATCTACCCTCGGTTCTAACCCATGCTCCTCTTTATCCAGGTATATATAACATTAACTGATAAGATTTACAAATTGTATTTGAAGTGCTACCTTTGATAACTATATCCTAAAACGCTATACTTTGTTTTGCTCAATGTTATAGGAGTGGAGCATGTTTCAGGAGATATGTTCACAGAAATTCCAAAAGGAGACGCCATTTTGATGAAAGTAAGTCCATATATGCACTTCATTCTATCAGAAGATAATTTCATGGTAAATCATATAGTATTATTGACTATGAAATAACATGGCAGTGGATACTACATGATTGGACCGATGAAGATTGTGTAAAGATTCTGAAAAATTGTTTGCAAAGTCTTTCCAAACGAGGAAAAGTGATAATAGTCGACATGATTATACCCGAAAAACCAAAGATCAAAGACCTCTCTTCTAACATTGTGTTTGGCATGGACATGACTATGTTAACACAATTATCGGGTGGTAAGGAGAGGTCTTTTTCCCAGATCAAGACTCTAGCCTCGGATTCTGGTTTTCATCGTTGTGAAGTTATATGTCGTGCATATTCATTTTGTGTTGTTGAACTCCACAAATAGATTCGAAGTTTTACCCAAAAACAAACAATCATCCCATTCATGTGTAGACTATATATGAAATGAAAACCTGGTATTTCACACACATAAAAAATACAAGCTTGAGGAGCTTTTTTGGTTGTTAATTAATGCCAATGGTGTTCCTTTTTTTAGAGTATAATATGGTTTATGTATTGCATTGTACTTTTTCAAGATTGTGGTGATTGTTTAGTGTGTAATCAGTGTGACACTCTGTCTCGCAATAGAGTTGTAATTTAATCAATTGTAATTTACGTCAAAATTATATGCCGATGTAATATAAGTTTTTAAGTTGAACCAAAAAAAAAATGCAGATTTTGTTTTTTAATTGTTTCCTTGACATAGAGACAGAGTTTGTACTTTTTCGTGCATGAGGAGCTTTTTGGTTAATGGATATTTCTTGTGTAATATTGTGTGTATTGGTATTTTTTTTTCTTGCAGAATTAACCAATTGTACTTTTGTTAATACAATATGCAGAAAATATTAAACATTTCTTTAACAGAATTTATCTTTAAAAACAATATAGTTTTTGAAAATATTTGAAAACTAACTTTTTTTCAAGTCAAAGACATTTAAATCGAATAAATAACTTTTATCGACTTATATAAGCATTTCATTTCCGAAAGCCACATATTCTCTACCAAACAATCTTCGGCCTCAAATCCATTGAAACCAACAACTACCAAAAAGCAAATAGAAATAAAGAAGCAAAGAGAAAAAAAAGTTATTAGAAGAATTAGTTGCCAACTAAAATTGATAAGTTATATTCTGATCAACTAAAGGAAGGATTTATCATGATTTGAAAACCGTTCACAATTCAACACGACAAAGGTAAGGAACGTTGTTTTCAAATAGGTTATTGGTTCATCCAAGTCCAAATTTGTATAATGTATGTTTTTGATATAAAATGGTTGGTTATTGACTGCCTCACTGATTATAGGCTTCATGGCTAACAACAGATCATCGAATCTAAAACAAACCTATTTATTTAGTTATATGATTTATAAAAGTATGTGAAATGGGATAAATGTCACACCACTTTTTCTTTTATAATACAAGTCTTAATCAGAACAAAAGATAAAATTGCTAGACCCGGAATGTGGAATCCTGCATTCCTAAAAAACAAAAAAAAAAAGCCAAAAACCCAAGAAAAAAATCTTTATCAATATCAAAATCTGTTTTTGTTAAGAATGAACATATAGAAAACTATACCTAATCTCAGAGGAGACGGAATAGAGAGAAAAAGTGAAAGAGAGTACACAATACTTATATGAGTTTAGATATCTGATCAATATGATAATTTCGTATGTCTTGGCCAAGTTTTACCCGAGAATTCATTATTAATCGTTTCCGACTACAAGAGCTCTCTATCAAGAACATAAACTCTAGGTTTGTCACACAAATAAAAAAGAAGATTACTATGTAATGAGAGAGATCTCTCTTTTATACATAAGCTTTCACTAACACGCGATAACTAACTCAAATCCCTTTTCACCTCTTACCGATCCTGAGTTAGCCTTTATAAACCTACCTTAAATTAAAATTGAATAAAGTTTCAAAGATTGATGCTTGATATATAGTCGATATTTTGGAGAAATGAAATACTCTGGCCTCAGTTATCAATGGAATTGATAACTTTTGGATTGGATTCGGTTGATGTACGAAATTGATATGGTTGATCCAACAACGGATATGAATCCTTTTTGATAGAATTTGGGTGATATATTGGAATATCTGTTCCCTTTTTTTATACATTGAACACGGCCACAAGATTGAAGTATATAATTTCAAGAAGAAAAAAAATAATATCTAATGATTATAGGCTTTAGGTTCACTGAGAATCTAAAGCTACTAAATTATTTTCTCAGAATTCTGTTAAGTAATGTAAAAATACCAAAATGGTTAGGCTTAGCTTTAAAGATAATATTCAGAAACATTCACAAACAAGTCAAATCTTGAAAAAAGAGTGATGATACAGCATGGAAATTCCAAGATCTATTCGAACTATCAAACAACTAGAGTTAACCAACTCGGCTTAATCATACAAACCGGCCACGGGTTCATCAATTAGATATAAGTTGATTTTACCTGGCTTAAGCTGCTTTAGCTGTTTCACGAACAACGGCTAGCTTAGCCAGAAGACCACATAGCTGAAGATATGATCCAACTCCATCACAGATTCTCATATGCGCAAATCCAGTTTCCTGAATAACATAAACTGGTCTTAGACATAAAATTCGCAGAAAGTGTGATGTTTTTGAGATGTGAAAAAAAACTATATGCATACCTTCATGAACTCAAGTTTCAGATACTCAGCCATATCATAATTCTTTATTATACGGAAAAGCGTTGTGATAATGTCGGTTGGAGAGTAGCCTAGATCGTATAGCTGCTTCATGCCGTGACAAGCATCGTCAAACTTACTTTCCAACACATTGCGAACCATGTTCTTGACATGAAGCGGGTGAGGTTGGTCACAGACCTGAAACAAAATTGAGGAAATAAGTGGAGAGATTCTACTTATGAATAAGCTAAGTGAATTAAGGTTTAGTATCGAACCTTGAAGACGTTCTCTTGGTTGACAAACCGAAAACCGCTGAATGTGGCTTGCAAGTTGTTCAGAGCTTGCCTCATGTCACCATCAGCTGTGAAGATTATCGCCTCAAGGCCTTCAGGTATAAACGGAACCTAGATTGAGAACACAAGCAATTAGAAATGTCGACAATTTCAGGTCATAATCATATTGCTTAGCTTTCTTTATTGTTGATTAAAGATCGATTTGATTTCTTAGCCAAGGCAAAACAGGGGATCTGATTCAGGTATGTAAACATGTAGAACGAAAGAAAAGTGGCAGAATCCATACATTCTCTGCTTGAACCACCACCATGAGACGGCCTAGAATCTCCTGATCAGATAACCTAGAGAATCGAACTAGGGCGCATCTACTCTGAATAGGCTCAATAATCTTGGCTGACGTGTTACAAGCAAGTGCAAACCGAGTAGAGTTTGAATAGATCTCAATCGTTCTCCTCAATGCTTGTTGTGCTCCAGATGTCATGCTGATTTTGCAAACCAAAACAGAAAAGGCAACACAATGTATCAGGAAAAAAATTGACTCGCACAATTCAATAAGAAAGTGGCAAAGCCAATAGGGTGAAAATGCAGAGAAGAGAATAAAGATTCAAGTAAAAGCCACTAGCTTAGCAGCACGAACCTATCAGCTTCATCGAGAATGACAACCTTATGACGCCCTGGAGGAAGTGTTACTTTCTTCTGCGCAAACATCTTAATTTTGTTCCTCACAACATCGATACCCCTACCACCATAACAGGAAGAACAATGCCACATAGAAAAATAAGAACCAAACAAACAACGAAAGAAGATGGAACCAAACATCCAATATCGAAAACCCATTGGTTAAAAAGATTGACAACACCTATAAACATACCTATCATCAGATGCATTTAACTCCAGAACAGCCTCCTTATAGTTCGGGCCAAGGAGCTCGTGAGCAAGAGCCAAAATGCTCGTTGTTTTACCCGTTCCAGGAGGACCCTGACAAAATCAGAATTCAGATTTCTACAAGTAAGGTGATACTAATCTACTAAACACTACAAAATGGCAGCTTATTTATCAATGAAGAGGTGAAATAAAAATCAAAGCTTCAATACTTGGTTCTAGTAAACACACGATAGTAAATGATCAAAGCCCTAAAATAAACAAGCTTTATCATGAAATTCTACATAGAGAGAAACCTAATTGCCTAAGTAGTTTCTCCGTGAACAGTTTTTTCGCAATTTCAATGAGGATTGAATTCAAAGAGTGCCGATAAAAGAGAATCGAGCAACTAAGAACAGTAAATGTCACCGCAAGGATCAGATTAGGCATGTTCCCGTCGCGAGCGATGACTTGAAGTCTGGAGACGGCATCTTCGTTTCCGACGATATCGACCACCTTGCTCGGCCTGTATTTCTCGACCCACGGAATTTCGTAACCGCCGCCGCAAGATGTTGAAGACGAAGACGCCATTTTTCAGCCCGAGGAAAGAGAATCTCCGGCCAGTGAGATTTGGGGGTTTTCTGGTTTGGAGGGAAAATTGGCGGAGAATGAGAATCCATCCAAGGGTTTTAGTTTTAGGAAACAGGATCAGTTTGCACTAAAGGGCTTATTAAATGAGAAAAATACGAATTCTGAATCAAACTATATAAATCTTACGCCCCCCTCCCGCCCTCAAATACTCTGTATTTTACATATATATACTCTGCCTATATGTAATTTATCATCAAAGAGCCTTTGAATTTCGAATAATACAAATATGGTCCAAAGTATTGTAATTACGTCATGTAGCCCCTACAAATACTCAATATTTACGTACATGACCTGCTTTAGTTCCATTGAGTTTCTCATCTCATCTATTGAATGAGTGACATCAGCAACATACCTCAGCTCCATTGTATTAGACGAGTTTTAAAAATTGAAAAGACTGATTCTTGTCACGTTCGATGTATTTGCTCGTGGAATGAACTTTCCGGATGTTACTTTGGTTGCGCCATGGGAGAGGATATACTTTCTTGATTAGCTTAAAGATTTGCCTCATGTTTTCTTGGTCAAGGGCTAAACTTCAGGTTTGTTTGAATTTATTGTTATTCTTGATTGATTATTTGGGGACATTGGTTTTATTTTATCATATACATACGTTTGCCGACCAGTAACGGAAAAACCCAACAGTTTTCAAACTTTTTTCAGTTTCTTTTTCTCATTTATGTTCATATATATCAAAGAAAAAATAACATCCCTTACCTGACTACCACTCTATTATATATCGAAAGACAATAGTTTTCTTCCTTATCACCTCTATTTTTTACAAAACATCGATAAACTTAGTTTTGTTGTAATATTGATCATGGCCAAGTTATCTTGTTCCTATGTCCTTGTACTCATGCTTGTGTTCTCAGGTAATTTCATATTTTTCCATTTTCCAAATACTTCGGTAAAAATATGTTCATATACATACGACGTTATTTAGTTCAATGCAGTTAGTAATAATCGCTTAACATAGAATATTTTGTTTTGTCTATATTGTAGCTTTTTTTATGTTCGAAAGAGCTGAGGGAAAGCTATGTTATATGACCATTGACAAAGGAAATTCATGTGATCCTGTCATGTGCCGTTTATTATGCTTTACGTATCATAACGGAGTTGGAAAATGTTTTGATGATCCTAAAGTTCCTGGACCTGCTAATTGTGGTTGTCTATTTAATTGTTAGCAATATTTTCGATATGAATTAAAATTCAAGCAATAATATGCTTTATCGCTTTTTTTTTACCACGTACAAGCAGGATTTGTTTGATTATATGCAGAAATGGTAAAAACCAATCGACTTACTTCCATCTTAGTTCTTTCTCAGCTATCTCATTTGAAACATAAACAGCTATTTCTCTTCTTGGACATAGCTTGATATGAATTTTCTGCAAAACAAAATGTTTGTTTATAGCATTCAAGTCTCTGATCTCATTGACACAAAATTCATTGTCGTAATAAATAATCCAACAAACAATAAATAATTGAAATATCACCTTGCCACAAGGTTTTTCGAAAGCAAAAACCATTTCTAAGACAGATTTGCTTTTACCAGTACCAAGATTAGAAATTATAAGCAGTAACAACCTAAGATTAAAATGACACACATTAAACATTTAATTAAAATTCTGAATCTTTGATGAGTGAATGCATCAAATTAAAACCAACCCTTTAAACACTTAATATATCTTATAGAATTTACCAATCTTTATGTAAGTAAATAGCTAGTTTAATGTTGCGGCATTGCCTTAAGTCCAAATACATTGAGTTCATTATCAAAATTTAGATCTCATAATATTTTACATATAGGGGCCTGTAAAAGGAGAAAAATACGAAATATAGACCAGAGTATTGTAACTGCTTTTGTAGCCATTCAAAAATACTCGATATTACATACATGCCCCGCTTTTTTTGTTTGGCTATCGTTTGAGGAGACAATACATATTAAATTGATTTGTTGTATTCAATTCAAAACATCAACAACAATCACGTTTTTCCCATTTGTCCGTGTTTGTCATCTTCTTTCTCTCTCTCTCTCTCTCTTCGAATCGAAACCCTAGCAAATCCGATTTTGTCTCTGAGATTGAAATTTCTCCTTTTTAATGGCGTAATTCTACACCAATTTCATCAAATTGAGATCAATTTCTGAGAATTCGAAGAAGAAAGAAGAAATGTCAACAGAGACTACGGCGAACAATTCCTCACCGTTTCCGCCGGCGTCATCTCGCCGTCATTCTTCCGATATGATCGATGAGACGCCTTTGATTATTAACGGAGGTGATAACGACGGAGGTGGACGGCGATCAGTGAGGAGACAAGGGCTGAGAGAAGCGGCGAGGCTACTAAGACATGCAAGTAGCGGGAGGATGATGATGAGAGAGCCGTCGATGCTTGTTCGTGAATCAGCGGCGGAGCAGCTCGAGGAGAGGCAAAGCGATTGGGCTTACTCGAAGCCTGTGGTGGTTCTGGATTTCGTTTGGAACCTTGCTTTCGTCGCCGTTGCTACAGCTGTTCTTGTGCTTAGTAGCGATGAGAAGCCGAATATGCCACTTAGGGTTTGGATTATTGGATATGGGTTGCAATGCATGATGCATATGTTATGTGTTTGTGTGGAGTATCGTAAGAGGAATAGAAGAAGAAGTAATAGGAGTCCAAGATCTCGTTCTTCTTCTTCAATGGAGGAAGAAGTGGGTTTGGGTTTGGAACTAGGGCAATTAGAGAGTGAAAGCAACAGGTATGTTCAATAATGCAGATTACAGATAATGTGATGTGAAATTTGGCTAAAGTAGTGTTTTTGTAATCATTTCGAAAAGCAGTTTTGCTAAGCATCTGGAATCTGCAAACACGATGTTTTCATTTATATGGTGGATCATTGGATTCTACTGGGTATCTTCTGGTGGCCAAGAGTTAGCACAAGGATCTCCTCAGCTTTATTGGTTTGTTGTTTCCTTGCCTCTTATCTCTTAAATTCTCTGAGTGTTTTTAAATTCTTAAAATTTTGTTTGAATGTCTTTGTTTGTATAGGTTGTGTATAGTTTTTCTCGGTTTCGATGTGTTCTTTGTGGTTTTCTGCGTTGCTTTGGCTTGTGTTATCGGCATTGCTGTTTGCTGCTGCTTGCCTTGCATCATTGCAGTTCTATATGCCGTAGCAGAACAGGTAACTTCTCATAACCTGTTTTGTCATTTTTTACCTCCCAAGAAAATCGAGTTTGTTCCAATGAAAATCTGTTCAAAATGCAGGAAGGAGCTTCTAAAGAAGACATTGACCAACTTACTAAATTCAAATTCCGAAAGGTTGGTGATTCTGAAAAACAGAGTTTTGATGAAGAACAAGCACAAGGAGATTCAGGAGGAGTGATGACTGAATGTGGCACAGATTCACCCGTCGAGCATACTCTTCCTCATGAGGATGCAGTAAGTAAACACAAAAACACTCTCCATTCTGTTAGTAACCTGTATACTTTGCATGTCATGTTATGATGTGTGGCTAGTCTCTGTTTGGATTTTGACGAACAAAACCGGATTTTGCGTTTGTGAATCTACAGGAATGTTGCATTTGTCTCTCGGCGTATGAAGACGAGACAGAGTTACGAGAACTTCCTTGTGGCCATCATTTCCATTGCGGTTGTGTGGACAAATGGCTTTACATAAACGCTACGTGTCCTCTCTGCAAATACAACATACTCAAGAGCAGCAACTATGAAGATGGCGAGGAAGTCTAGAACAGAGGAAGAAGAAGAAACAAACTTGCAAATATGCGAATCTGTATCATTAGCAGCGAGGAACCAAGAAATAAAATAGTTCAGCTTGCTGTGATTTGTAATACACCTTTTGAGTTAATGTTTTCGAATTCTGTTTACATGTTTAGGTTCTTACTTGCTCAACAAGACAACAGTCTCGAATTGAGAATATTTCTGCAGTGATCTATGAATTGAGTTTAGACAAGTAACTATGAGCTTGATGCATCCTTACATGCACAAACTCGGACTATTTTAAAATGGAACTCGAAAATATTTGGCTTACGGATTCAGAAAAGTTCAAGATTAGCCTCGAGTTTACATCTAATAAGTTAGTGTCGTATTTAACGTGATTTTTTATTAACCGAAAGAGCACTGGTTCGTTCGATACAACCTTTTTTGAAAAGAAAAATAGAATAGATGCAGGAAAAATAAAACTACATCTATGTTTTTTTCCCCTTATACATTGAGTGGTGAAAACGAAAAGGAAAAAGCTTGAAGAGAAAAGAAAGAAATGTCAGGGCTTTTTTTGAAAACCCCATGGATTGTTATTTGCCCAGTTCCATTGATCTCTGCACATCTCGTCTACTCCATATTTTGCCCTGATAAACAAAAACCACAAAAGAATCTAATCAAAGTATTCAAAAAGATATAACTTTTTAAAAGTATTCAAAGTATGGTTCTTTGTCAAAATTCATTATACTTCTCTGTTCAATACCCTAAAAATCTAATCAAATTCTATATCAACGAGCATGAAGATTGCACGTATCACGTTCTTGATTCATGCAATACAAAGATTCGATCAAGTCTTTTTCGCATACAAGATAGTTCGTTCTATATACGAAAATGGTAAAACCGATTGACTTACTTCCATCCGAGTTCTTTCTCGGCTTTCTCAGTTGAAGCATAAACAGCTGTTGCATCTCCAGCTCTTCTTGGACATAGCTTGATAGGGATTTTCTGAAAGAAAGAAAAAATGTCTGATTGTTATAGCATTTCCATTAATCCATTGTCGTAATTGGGAAAATAAGAATATAATTTTTACCTTGCCAGAAGCTTTTTCAAAAGCAGAAACCATTTCTAAGACAGAAGTTCCTTGTCCAGTCCCAAGATTATAAGCAGTACAGCCTAAAGATTAAAATGACGAACCAACACATTAAAACAATCTCAAAAATCCTAATCTTTTGATCAAATCCATCAAATCAAAACCAAAACCCTTACAAACAGTTTGTAAATGTCTTAATAGAGTTTACCAATCTTTGAGTCTGTAAATAGCTTGTTCAATGCTGCGACATGTCCATCTGCTAAATCCATTACATGGATGTAGTCTCTGACCTGCAAGTAGTTGTATGTTAGTTTATCAATCTTCCATCAGGAAATCAAAACCGGAGATTTTCTATCAAGAAAGAGTATGATCGATGTTTGTACCGCACTGCCATCACTAGTAGGATAGTCATGTCCAAACACATTGAGTTCAGGTAATCTTCCAACAGCCACTTGTTGGATATAAGGCATAAGATTGTTTGGTATGCCTTTTGGATCTTCTCCAATCCTTCCGCTCTCATGAGCTCCAACGGGATTGAAATACCTCAGAAGAATTATCTTCCATTCTGGTTCAGCCGTGTGAATGTCTCTAGCTATTTCTTCAAGAAACAGCTACATAAAGAGAGAAATGACATGACTTTTCAAGATCTCAGTTACAAATAAGATAACTTTCAAGATTATGGACACAAAACAGAACGTATTCGAGGTCAGGGGCTCAGAACATGTTTTCAAGTTGACAACTTTGATGTAGCTCGAGAGCTTAATACCTTAGTACGACCATAAGGATTCATAGCTTGTAACTCAAAGTCTTCCACACATGGTACTACTTCAGGTTGGCCATAAACCGTTGCAGAGGACGAAAACACCATCTGTATATATATTCCAGCATCACAAACAATTAGTATACTAAAATCATAACTAAAGAGAAGAATCACATTTCTGAAAACTGAAGGACTCGATCTTAACCATTTTGCAGTTGTTCTTTGCCATTGTCTCATATAGATTGATTGTTCCAACTAAGTTATTGTCAAAGTAACGACGAGGGTTTCCAACACTTTCACCCACAGCTTTAAGACCAGCAAAGTGAATCACAGCATCAAATCTGTATTCCCTCACAAAGAATCAAAAATATTAGACAAAAGGTGAAATAATCTATTCACATGAATAAAAAATTGCATAATTTGAGTCTCAACATTACCTCTGTTTGGAAAAGAGTTTCTCAATATCCCCTTTGTTTCTTAAATCACCCTGCAATGAATCAAGACACACAAAGTCTTATATAACTTCCAAAACAAATAAAAATCTAAGGATCGTTCAACATCAATCACTTGAAAAATTCAGAAAGAATGATTTCTTTGTATCTTTCAAAGATATTCTAATAGACGAACGAACATATATACATTCTCAATTCCTAAGAAATAGCCAAAAGTTACATAAAAGGTCCAAGCTTTCTTTGGTACTGACCAGATTGAATTCAAGCTTGTTAGAGAGATCAGGACCAACAAGCTCACGAACCCTATGAACAGCTTCAATGACAGAGTTATCAAGATTATCGATGATCGAAACCTTAAAACCCTGATTCAAGAGCTGAACAACAGTGTGTGTCCCAATGAATCCAGCACCACCAGTCACCAAAATGTTCTGCTCCACAGAGGAACCCATTTGTTCTCAACGAATTTCGAAAAATCCACTTCGAAAAATCGAGACTTTCTTCACTATATAGGATAAAAGAAGAAAGATCAATTGACGGTTGATCAAATCAAGGAGAGAGGGAGAGAACGAAAAAAAGTAAGAAAGAGTCTTTATTGATCTGTTGCTTTCTTGTGAGAAGATAAGAACGACGACGCAAAAGCGAAATTAAGAAAAAGAGAAATCTCTGTTATTGTTGGTTTCTTATCAAAAGTGAAGACGATGAAGGTGATTGATCCGTTTCTTTCTTTGATCTTGGAATTGAACTCGTGAAGGTTGGTTTAAATAATTGAAGGGGAAAATGAAAACACTTTACACCTTTTTGACCAAAAAAAGATTTTGTTTGAACGAAAAAAAAAGGAAGATATTCATTTGCCTTTTCTTACCCTATTTTTGGATTATGGATAACGAGAAAAGACCAAATCCACGAGGATTAAAGGGGAAAATGGGTAATCGATTTTGTTTGTTTTTCAGTCCTTCGTGTAATCGATTTTGTTTCCTAATTTTTTAGATTAACAAGGATTAAGGTAGTTTAGACTTGAGACCCTACTTACAAAAAAAGAAAAGAATAGTTTAGACCCAAATTATATGGATTGTGCTGTCTTTTTACTTGCTGCTTCCAAAGTTACAAAGGATAATTGTCCTCAGCTATTTTGTATGTATAATTTTGATTTTTGTTGTTTCTTTATTTGTCATCGTACCATTTCTACGTAGTTTTTGGTGTAAATAATTAAGTCGAGGACTATTCAATATCTTATACTTGTTGAAACTTTCGAATATTTGTATTTTTTTTTAAATAACAATCTTTTTGAAGAGATAAAGTATACTTTTGGAGTATATGATTCATGCTAATGTCTCGAGATGAAAAGTGTAATTGCTGATGATTGCCTCTAATCCAGGAAACCTAAGTCATGATTATTGATTTGTGTGCTTACTATGTTTGTTTAAATCGTCAGCCTCACCAGCAATCATTACTCTATTATCTGAATTTTTATTCTATTTATATCTGAATTTTTCTGAATATTTTTATAACGATATTTATTTATCCACATATTCCAAAATGTTGCATTATCCATGATGTTTCCAAATGGACTTTTATTATAAAGTAGATTAATTGGATAAATGAAATAGTTACAAAGCATCATTTAATTTAAAAAAGTGCAACATCTTTAGAAGACACAAAATGATTTATTGGTACTATAAAACTGAAAATGTTGTAATATATTAGTTAAAGCAAAAAGAATTAGAAGTAGAGGATTTTCTCTTGCTATCTCTTTCCTTTTTAAAACTTTTTGTTTTTCATGCTTATTTTTGTTAATTACTAAGTGGAATACACTGTTTCCCCAAGAATTAGAAGTAGAGGATCTAATCTCGGTTCTACTCTTTACTCTGTTTCCCCAAGAACTCTCACCAAGCTTACACTTTTTAATGAAAGTTCTCTCTCTTTTTCTTATGTCTATCTCAGTGATGTGAAATACAGCTCTATATGCCCACGGAAATGACCTAATTCCCTTTGCAGCCTCCACGTCTTTGTCTTGTCTTTGGCACTTAGTCATTTAAGACTAGCCCATAACTTGGAGTTGATACAGGACAAAAACACATTTTGCTTTTGCTTTATCAGAGCCTCAGCAACGGGAACATTTTGTGTGTGGTCCTGCAAACTTCTTCCGGTCACGTGAGCCTGATTTTCCGAGCTCACAGGCTTGCTCTCTAAGTTATTCTCTTGTCTTTGTCTTGATCTTCATGGCTAAATCCAACACCTACAAACCTGGGTTGAAAGCCTTTTATATGTTAGCCTTAGTAATTCCTCATTTTTAATCAAAAGCACTATATTGTATGTCAATAAATATGATTAAGTGAATGAAAAAAAAAACGCAAAGTCAAAGTCACTCTTCACTCGATGGCCCACTTTGAGCATATATTTTTAAGCTCACTCTTCTTTGTCACAAATGAATGATATATCAATAACGTATTGATTTAATTTTTGAACTAAATGTTTTAAAACTAATTGAAAAGGAAAAACATTCATGGTGTTGAATCCAGTGGAAGCTTTTTCAGATTTGGACATGGAAATACATCGATTCTCTTTAGACATGGAAAAGGTAGAGGACTCTAATGGATATTCTTCAGCTCCGGTAAACTATCCAACACAAGACGATTCAGGTTTGGATCCATATGTAAACGAAGTGATGTATCCAGAGTTAAATGGTAAATCACTGTCTGACTTTGACTATAAGGAAGTGATAATCGAGCTTGCGGAACGTGGGTTATCAGTATCAGGATCGCGAGAGAGTAGGCTTTTGCGTTTAGCGGTATCAATTAGAAAGGGACAAGATGGGTATTTTCCAAAGATAGATAATAACTCGATTGCTGAGTTGGGCGAGAAGGATCTGAAATCTCAGTTGAGATTACGTTGTTTAAAAATAGGAGGAACTAATGATGAGTTACTTCTGCGCTTAGCAAAAGCAATTAACAAATCCATTTATATATCAATAACGTATTGATTTAATTTTTGAACTAAATGTTTTAAAACTAATTGAAAAGGAAAAACATTCATGGTGATGAATGATCAAAATCTTATGTTCAACAATTGTGCACAATCTCACTTTAGAGAGATATTTAGGGGGTGTTATTGGAGAGTTGATTTATAAAGATTTTTAGAGTTTAAGATTCTATAGTTATTGGTTTGTGGATTTTTACATTCTTAATAGATTCATCTGTTATTCATTTGAAGATTATAAAAATCAGTTGTTATTGATATGATGATTTTTATAATCTAATCAAAATCTATTGTTATTCAAAAAATCTGCATTTTAATGATTCTATGATTCTGTTATAATCTATTGTTATTGGCATAATGATTCTTTGTAATTTAATTCATAAATCATGATTCTCAAAATACTACCTATATCCCTTGGATTCTCAAAATCTGTCATATTAAAAAATTATTAATAGATTGTTTAAATCCATAAAACTCTCTCTAAATTTTACAAATCCAACAAAACTCTTAAAAATTTGACAAATCTCGTGATTTTTAAAATCAACTAAAATCTTCATAAATCCAACTCTCAATAACCCCCCCCCCCCTTAAACTAATCCTTAACTAAAGAGAGTAAATAAATAGTGAGAAAATATTAACTCCTCCGAGTTTGGGAAAGAAACCAGCATTTGTCGTCTTTAGCTTTCTCTGTTTTTGAGTCGGCAAGTTTCTAGCTCCTTCTCTTCAATTAATTTTCTGAAACCTATAATGCCTAAAGAAAGCTTTAAACCCCCTAGTTCAATTAGCAATTTTGGAGTTTGTTTTGGTAAGTTGAAGTAACTTTTAATTGTGTCAAGACCCATATAGTATCTAAAATTTGTAGTTTGTACTCCAAAATTTTTTGACAACCAAGGAAGAGTATCTATTTCTAACTTGCAAAGAGGGAGAGATTTCCCAATCCATCACAAGCTTTAGTCAAATCTGGAATATCTGAGCAGTAGATGTTGTGGTCATATCAGATATATCTGTCCAAAAATTTTGACATTTTTTTTTTATCATCACAATATCCATTGTTCAGATATATTTGATGTGGCCACAATATGAATTGCTAGGATATATATAATGTAGCCACAACAGTATCTGAGCAGCCACAACATCCACTAGTGGAATATATGTTGTGGCCACACCATATGTATCTGAGCAATGGATGTTGTGACCACACCATATATAATCGTCCAAAAACTTTATATTAATACATTTTTTTGTTTGGGAAGGTTAAGGTTTTGGGGGTTCAAACACCATGAAAATGTAAACATTAACACTTGAGAAATTTGATTATAACGATAGGATGCTCTGAATAAAGTAGAAATTGAAAAATTGTTGATTTATAGGTTTTATTCTTTTTGTTGTGTTGTAAGTTATTAGCTCTGAATGCTGTATAGCGTTATATTTTTTTCATACACTGCATAATCATATACAGCTCATCTTGATGATGTGTTGCATTTTGTAAATTTTCTAGAAAAATACAACATTAGTGCATTGGTCACCAAAAATTTCTTACAAATATGTTGGTTAATGAGTATTGTTTTAGTATCAATAGAATGATATCCGCTCATCTCCATATTCACAACAATACCATATTGCTTTTGTCATTTTCTAGCAAACACATTTTTGAGTATTAAAAGTAAATTTTGGTAATGGATTTCTCAAACAGTCTAAAGACGTTTCTAAAATAGTAACAATGAATTTAAACATGATCCAGTGCTGTTCACCGTCAAAGAAAAATCTAAGATAATTAATAATTTACCGATTAAGTCTATATTTGTGGTCTCATTTGGTTATTAAATATTTTCCCTTCTTTTGCGGCCCTATTGCTGTCATTATAGATTTGTACTTGGAATTTATTGCCTTTCAAAGAGGTACAATTTTTTTATTTCTGATATGTTTTAAATATATTCTATACCTCATTATATTCACTTTTACGTTTGAAAATAATAGGATGGCATCTACACAGGACTTGAGAAAAAATGTAATATACTTGACTAGCAGTTGTTCTTACTGTTGGTTACAGAACAAAAATGTCTAAAAAAAATTATTATTGGAAAGTCCAAAATACAGTAGGAACTACATTGGAAAAAGTTCTAAAAACTTACATGGGAAAATAGTGAATACAGAAATATCATACAACATACTACTAGTCTTGATAGAGGAGCACCGTCTCTATTTACATGCATGGTCTATTCTAAGGTATGTATTATATTAATTAAATAATTAAAGTAATAATTAGCATATTCCTCAATGGGTAATTTAAACTTAAAAAGTTTGTTTACTTTTCAGTCCTTTTGTTTCCTATTTTTTTTTAGATAATTAAGGATTAAGATAGTTTAGACCCAAATTATATAGATTGGGCTGTCCTTTGACTTGTTGCTTCCAAAGTACAAATATGTTGGTTAATTTTATTTTTTTGGGGTACAATATTACTTATTTTTTCTTCATTTATGAAAACTAATATATATGTTTAATTATTAGGTTCTTGTTGGACTATATAGCGATCAATCTTCTCATCTTCATATTCACAACAAACCAAATTGTTTTTGTCATTTTCTAGCAAACAAATTTTTGGGAGTGTTAAACAAAAATTTGCTAATGAATTTTTCAAGACCTACGACGGTCTAAATAATTTTTCTAAAAAGAGAACAACATGATCTTCATACGAGAACTATCCTACAGTTAAGCATCATCTGAGTCTTATAATTTGTTTTTGTATGGATTTGA